CTACTCTATTGTCTTGATACAGCTGGCTGGAGCTAGCTCACCACAACCTGTGTTACAGTTTACGGGAACAGGAAAATAGTTGAGAGGGAAAGCAAATTCTTCTAAAGAAGACATGACTAGAAATTTGTCCACATTTCTTTAGTTCAAATCACAGCAGTCAGAAATTAGGAATAAGGATATATTTATGCAAATAAGACTGGAAAATGTAGTAACCCATTAAAAGGAAGAATGAAAATATGTATCCTATGAAACTGTAATTGACTTAGGACTCTGGGAAGCCAAGCAAGCACCTCCCCTCCCTGGTAAGCGGAGGCAGTGTGGCGGACTGCACCCCTTCCAGGGGGAGAACCAGCAGTGTCTCCTGAGATCCACACCATGTTGGAACTGAGGATGCTGTGAAAACAAATGACCATCCTGCCTCCCTGCTAAGCAATAGTGAACCTACTGCTACATGGCCTAGAGTCAAATATCCCACTTCCCCATCCTCCTTCTCCTCCCCAGCCCCCACCCATTAGCAAATGGGAACCAGAAATCTGAGCATCTCCTGGGAGGTTGACCATAGCAAATAAGGGGGACTTCCTTCTACCATTTCTTTGAAGGCAAATATTTTTATTACTGTTTTGCTCTTTTCTGATTAGTGGTACTGCTCTATTCAATATTCTGTTCTGATAAGTTCTATAGTGTTCCATATTTCATCTCATTTTGATATATGTGATTGAAAGAACAACTATTATAAAGAAAACAAAATATACTGTGATACCTATTACTGTTATCCCGGTAACCTGCTGTGAAATTCTGTACCAGTTTCACTGCACGATCTTAGTTGGCTTTATTCTGACTTGTTCTGTTGTATACTTTCAAAATAAAATTTAAAAAAAACTACAATCAGTCTTTCAGTATTTAAGCCTACCCAAGAAAATGCTCTTTCCAATATAATTGTTTCTATTATTTGAACTTTAAACATCTGTCTCGATCAACTAATTCTAGGAATTGTAATTATGATTCACCTGCATGTATGGTGAGTGATAATTTCTATGTATGGTTATCATTGAAGAATAGAATCTTGGCTACTCATATCAGATTTTATCTCAGTCAACTGGCTGAGAAGTTATAGAATCAACTATCAAAAATTTCAGCTTTCATCACTCTATTCTGATCAGTTTAATACTGTTTTGTTTTGTATGAATTCATTGTGTGTGAAGGTATGGACAGCTATTTAGAAGAAAACAAGAGACATTATGGTAGCCACTGTAGATTTCCTGCTGTCTTGCTTTTAAATCTATGTCACTTACATTGTTTTCTTCTGATCTACTTTGTTCTGTTGTTATGTTTGGTCTTACCTTCTTTAAAATAAAAAAAAAATTTCAGCCTAGAATGAGTGTTGAAAACTAATTACAAAAGCTTGGTTCCCTGGTTCTTAACTGACAAATGAACCGGAATCTTTTAAAACATTTCCAACAGAAATGCCAAACTTTAGGCCCACCCCTGGATATTTGATTTACTAGGTGTGAATGAGACTTAGCTACCTGTGTATTGTGAATGTTCCATAGGCAAATACGACATTTATCCAGAGCTCAGGATCATTGCTTACTGCCATGCCCAGAGCCTAATTACTGGCACAAACCATCAAGAAGAAAGTATATCCAACACAGGGACTTTCCTTTCTTAGAAATGTATATATCAGGCTATCACAAATGGATGGCAATAGACATCAATACCTCATATGTAACTAGCTCTTCTTGCTGTGGTTGTTGAAATTAAGCAACCTACTTAAAAATAAGTGATGAAAATTTGTCTTTGTGGAAGTTCTATTTCTTCACTGTAAATCCAGTCTTGCAGTATGAGTTAATATGTAGGTGCTACTACAAGACAAAATGATTGAATTTCCTTAACTGTGCATCTGTTAATAATGTTTCTGGAAAGCAAATAAAAAATTAACTTTAGAAGGAGCTATCAGGTCTGCTGAACTCCACACCCCGTCCAAGTATATACAGGACAGCAGGTGAGGCAAGGTGAGTTGTGGCATTGTTGGAAGTCACACAAGCTCCTGTGGCTGTCCTCTCCACTCTTGTCCTCTTTCTCAAGCCCAGAGGACACCAATTTCTAATTTGAAGTTCTTCTTTTTTAATATCTCTAGCTAAAGCTCTCTGCATATACATCGGTTTTCTTCTTTCTCAGGTCTCCTTTCATTTTTGGAACAAAAAAATACGAGAGGTTATTTTTGTGGCTGTCTCTTCTGAGGCAATGAGCAAGAACACGTTTTTTACTCCTTAGATAGGAAAAGAAAGGAGAAAAAACTGGTGAATAGCCTCAAAATATAATTTTATCTTTGTGACAAAAGTAGGTGCTCAAGTCAAATTATTTTCCAACATATGTTGCTACACTAACACCTCCATCCCAGCCATTCATCCTTTCCCTCTTTGGATTAACGAAGACCTATGAAATTAAAGCTGAGTTCACAGTGCATAGTTTATAGGGATATAAATTGAAGCACTCAGGTTACAAAATTACAAACCTGATGCAAAACCAATTTTCTTGACATAGACATAGAATGTCTCTCTATGTCTCGGTACACAGGTTTCCTTAAAAGAGATGATATCTTGTGTTTCTGTATTGGAAGACTTAATATTGTCAAGTGAAAATGACACCCCAAACAATCTGCAGATTCAGTGCAATCCCTATCAAAATCTCAATGACATGTTTCTTTAATAGTACCTATTTATATTACATAATGTACACTCACTGTGTAAACTGTACATAATATATCTTAAATTTCTTTTTTTTTCACTCCTTTTACCTTCCACCCTCTCCCTTCTTCTATCTATCTTATGATACTTTTTTCTTTTTGAGGGAGGGGGCCGGTACTTGGTTACAATATAGACATTTTTATAGTAATAGAAAAATTTATCCAAAACAACTTATAAACAATCTTAAGATACCTGAAATAATCAAAGCAATCTTTCAAAAGAAGCACAAAGTTAGAGGTGTCACTCTTCCTAGTTTTAAAACTTGTCCCAAAATCACAAAAATCAAAACAGAGTGGTACTGGCCTAAAGCAAACACATAGAACAAGAGGTAGAATAGACATAAAACTACAAGTATGGTCAGATAATTGTCAACACTGATGTTTAATCGTTCACTGGGAAAAGTCTTTTCAACAAAGGGTGTTGTAAAAACTGGACAGTCATATTCATACAGTGAAACTGCACTGTTATCTGGTGCCACATCAAAAAGTAACTCAAAATGGATCAAGATGTGAAAGCAGACTCTAAAAATACAAAACTCTTAGAAGACAAGACTAGAAACATTTCCTAACTTTGCACTTGGTGATTCTTTTTCTTGGACATTCCATCAAAAGTATATACAACATGGTTTAAGTATGAATTATCCCCACTCAAACTGATATTGCAGCGTGATCTCTAATGTAACAGGACTGAAAGGTGGTGGAGCCTCCAAGAAATGAGTAGGACTTTTTTTTATGAGTAGGTTTTTAAGGGAGATTAATGCTTGTCTTACAGAAGTGATTTTTGCATAATTGCTGGATTCCCATAGTTACCACAAGAGGAAATTGCTGAAAGAAAGATTGCTTTTCACATTTTCTTTCTTCCATGACTACTTCCTTGCCCTTCTGCTTTCCCTGCCAGGAAGTGAATCAGTGTGCAGCCCTCATTAGAGGCTGAGCAGATATTGGTGCCATGCTCTTAGACTTCATAGTTTCTGGCATGATGAACCAAAATATGCCTCTTTTCCTTAAGAAGGCTCAGGTATTCTATCATAGTAACACAACACAACAGGCAACAATAGAAAAAATAGAAAAGTGGGACTTCATCAAAATCAAGAATTTTTGTGCATCAAAGAACATTATCAGCTGGATGTAGTGGTTATGCCTGTAATTTCAGCACTCAGGAGGCTGAGGCAAGAGGACTGCTATGAGTTTGAGGCCAGGCTGAGCTACACAAGTGAGTTTAAGGCCAGCCTGCACTACAAGTGGGACCTTGTCTTAAAAAAGAAAAAAAAAACATTATCAACAAAGCATAAAGATAACTCATAAAAGGTAAATATTATGTTTTGGACCAAAAATGTCCCCCAAAAGGCTTGCATGCCTTGAGGTGGGGCTTTTGGAAGATGCTTAGCTCATGGAAGTGATCACCTCAGTAGGGGTAAGCCCACTGATGAGTTCACCACTAAATATGCTCTTGGGAGGTGGGGCCCTCTTGGAGGAAGTGGGTTCCTGGGGATGCGCCTTTGAAGAATGTACATCTTGTCCAGAGAACCAACAACCATGGACGGAAACCCCTGAAACCATAAGCCAATTGCAGATGAGTTGAATGGTCAATTTTACTAAACATTCAAGGAAGAAATTGCACCAGTTTTCAATAATCTCTTCTTAAGACAGAAGCATGGAGACTCCTGTGAGTTCTGCAAACCTCTAACATCAAAGCTAGAGAGACACAATAAGGACACAAAAGCAAGCAAACAGACAAAACTCCTCCAAAACTCACAGACTGGTATTCAACCTCATAATGCAAGTCTTAGCTAGTGCAATAAAACAAGAAAGAGTGGAAAGAAAAAGTATACTGATTGGGAAGGAAGAAATAAGTCTTTGTTCACAGATAAATGTCTCCTTACTTAAGAAATCTGAAAAAAATTACAAAACAAAAAGTTCCAAAATAACTAACTATAAAAAGATTGCAGACATGGTTAATATATGAAGTCAATCCTCTCCTATATCTAGCAATGATCAAATATATTACTTATGCTGTTGTAGTCAGGGTTTGTGCAGAGAACAATTAGAATCAGGACATAGAGTTTATCTTATTTTTATAATGGTCACCAGGAGTTAACACAAGAAAATGCAGGAAATCTATCTGCAACACCAAAAACAAAATACTTAGTTAAGGGCCTAAATCCCACAGCAATGTCCCACATGAAAACCCAGAGCTCAGACAATGCCTCCCACGAGTCTAACTGGAGGTCCAGAGCCCACAAGAAGGACTTACACCAGTATCTTTTATGGATCCATGCTGGGAAGGCCCAAAGATCAGCGGTGGAAGCCAGAAAGTCCATGCTATGGGGTGAAGGAGCTGTGTTGGTGGGATAAGGGTTCTATGCTGGAGTCGAGAAGTCACTCTCACAAAGACCAGGGCTGTCCTGAAAGCACCACAGCCATCCTCAGCGACACAGAGGCCCCGAGCTCCTCCAACGTTAAGCACAGTTGAGTACATGTCAGGAAGCCAGTGTGACAAGTTCATCCTGGAGACCAAGTGGCACACATCTTCCTCTGCAGAGCCAGGAAGCAATGCTCGATGTGACGACCAGAGCTTCTCCAGGAGAACCAATGGCTCAAACAGCAACTCATAGGAGAACCTACAATGCCTCAACGCCTCACGCAATAATGCATTAATGCCTTCCTTCTCCTTCTCCACCTCTCTATGCTGGCAACTTTCCTCAGGTGGAGCATCTACGCTCAGTGCCATGCTGATGCAATTCAGCTGGTGTTAAGTTGCCCACCAGTTCTTAATCCATAACATATGTGTGAGTCCTTGGGTTCAATTTCCAGGACTACCAAAAAAATTTATATACGCACCTTAAAAAACACTTACGTATAAACCTAACAAAATAGATACAAGATCAATAGGAGTAAACTAGACATGTAATTCCAGTACTCCAGAGGCCGAAGCAGGATATTTGTCTTATGTTCGAGGCCAGCTTGGGCTACACAGTGAGTTCAAGATGAGCCTGAGAATGAATAAAGGGCATTTAGATTTAACAAGCACACTGAGTATAAATGTATGGAACTATAACACCGAACACTATTAATGTATATAATTAATACTGCTAATCAAAAATTTAAAGTACATATGTACAAATTAATTTAGGCACAGACCTAATAACCACTAAAATTAACTCAGAATGGATCACTGATCTAGAAATAAAATAGAAAAATAAAAAATCCCTAGAAAGTAACATTAGAGAAAACCTAAACAACCTTGAGTTTGGTGGTAAGTTTTTGGGAAAAGTAGCAATGGCACAATATATTCTAGAAAAGTTGATAAGTCAAATTAATTAAAAAATGTAAAACTCCACTCTGAAAGACAATATGAAAAGAATGAAAAGACAACCCAGAGAATGGGAGAAAATATTCACAGGAGACACATTTTACATGGTACTGCTATTCAAAAAATATAAAGAATATTTCAAGCTGGGGCTGGGGATTTAGCTCAGTGGCATAAGCACCTGCCTTGCAAGCAGGTGGTGCTGAGTTCGATCCCCGGTACTGATTAAAAAATGAAAAATAATATTTCAAGCTTAACAACAAGAAAACAAACAAATTGATTTAATAAAAATAGGCCACCAATCTTAACAGATACCTCATCAAAGGGAGCAAATAAGCATAGGAAAAAATGCTTTGCATCATATGCAGTCAGGGGAACGCACATTAAAACAACAATGAAACATCACTACACCTACCGAAATGGCCAGAATCCAAAACACTGGTAACACCAACTGCTGACAAAATTGTGGAGCATAGGAAACCTCATTCATTGTTGGTCAGATTTAAAAATGGTTCGTCCAACTTGAAAGGCAGCTCTCGGTGTCTACCAAAGAAAAAGTAAAGTATCCTCCCACCAAGTGATGCCGCAGTTGCCTTACTAGTGTTTACCCAAGGACTTGAAAACATGTCAACACAAAGACTGAAAATGGATGTTACGGCAGCTTTATTCCTAACTGACAAACCCTGAAAAAGAGCACCATGTTCTCCAGAAGGTGAATGGATAAACTGCAGTATCTCTGGACAATGACACATTATTTGGGAATAAAAAGAAATAAGCTAGCAAGTCATGGAGTGTTGCAGTGTGTGATTGTGGGGGCATAAAGGATGCAAAGACGACTCAGAGATGAAGCAGTTGAGTCACTAACAGGCCCAGAGAAGCTGCTCCAAACTCTCAGGAAAACAGCAGTGTGCTGAGATCTCTGCAGCTATACATTTGTAATTCAAGGACATGAAAACAAAGTTCTAGAAGAAAAGCATTTGAGACACTTGTTATAGGAGTTTTAGATGGGAAAGTAAAGGAAAGAAGTGGTGACACAGTCAACCTAGGTTAAGCAATTTTATAGTGGCAGAAGGAACACAATGACTAAAGCAAACATCTCTGAGAATAAATTGTTGTTGATTCTGGTAACTGTTGTCCTGTAGACTGCTCTAAACTTTAATCATACATTCCAGGAACCTGAAAATTGTTCCTCCAAAGTCCCTTTCTTTTTGTACCCATTTTAAGCACTCCTCCACCCAGCATCTCCCTACAGTGGAGAAAACTTAATTGCATACTATTAAGTAAAAGAAGACAGTATGAAAAGGCTACATATTTTATGACTCCAGCTATATGCTATTTTGTGTGTAGTGCTCTAACGTAAAAATTTGGAAGGTGGCAGCAGTGCACTGACAGATTACGAGGTGTGCTAACCTCCCCATGATCCCATTGGCATTGCAGATATCCCATGCTGACCCTGCTTGAACATGTCCTCCATTTACTCAACGTGAGCAAATTAAGTGTTTATGTCTGCCAGTCACTTTGCCAGCCACCAGGCACAGTGAAATATAGGTCCCTATCTTCTGATTAATTGTCCCTGAAACAGACTCAGGCATACACGGTTGACTGGTGAGGCAGTTTTGGAAGCATTTCAGCTTCATGAGAATTGCCAACGAGGAAGGATCCTGCATGCTGAAAAAGAATGATGAGAAGGTGGGTGGAATTCATAACCGTAAGTCCCACCCCTCTAAGACCTGGTTCTTTTAATCCTTATATTTAAATTTTTGTTCTCTCTCATGCTACGTTTTATTTCCACACACCACACTTTATATACACATTAATTGCACACACATGGCCTTTTTGACCAGTATCTGAATACTCTGTGGAGAGGAGCTTTGATGATGAAGCTATATTCATGGGAGATACTGAAACACAGAAAAGCAGACAATACTGTTTGGTGCTCAAGGGAAATAGGGTAATAAAGAGTATCAGGGTGTAGTCTCTTGACTTCCCAGAGGAAAACCCTATACCTCAACAAAATCAGGCCTGGCACTGTTGAGAGGAGATACATTTAGGTATAGATGTCACCATTTTCATGCAGGTACTGGCAGCTATGGTGTTGATCAGGCTCCTACCTATGTCTTTATGAGTAAAGGACTGGAAGCAAGGTATGGTGGTTTTTGCCTGAAATCTCAGCACTCTGAGGCTGAGACAGGAGGATTACAGCTTTGAGCCCAACCTGGACAATTTAGCAAACTCCTCCAAAATAAAAAATAATATGATGTTAGCTTTTGGTTTGTCATAGATGGCTTTTATCAGGTTGAGATAAAAACCATCTATTTCAACTTTCTGTAGTGTTTTTTAAAAAATCACAAATGGCTGTTGGACTTTGGCAAATGCTTTTTCTGCATCTGTTGAGATGATCACATGATTTTTGTATTTGGCTCTGTGAATATAGTGTGTTACATTTATTGATTTGCATATGCTGAGTCATCCCTGCATCCTTGGGGTGAATCCAACGTGGTCATGATGTAAAATCTTCTTGATGATTTGCTGTATTCTGTTTGCCAGTATCTTATTAAGGATTTTTGCATCTATTTTCCTTCTGGGTATCTTCTTAGAAGAATTAAAAGCATCATACCACAGTGATATATGTGTACCCATGTTTATAGAAGCATAGATTGTAAGACCTAAATCTTGGAAACAATCAAAATGTCCATCAACTGAAGAATGGATAAAAAAAAGATGTTGTTTTATACAGTGGAGTACTACCCAAACATAAAGAAGGATAAACTTGTGAAACTGAGAGAAAAAAGGGGAAAAATATGTATACACAAGATAGTTAAGATAGTTATACTACTAATTTCCATTAGTTTATTGAAAAGGAAGTTTTGTGCTAATATTATTTGGACAACTAAATGCCTTTATCTTGTACTTGAGTAACTAATTTAAAGACATCAATACACAATATAGTAACCATTATTACTTTCCTATTTTCTTGTTTTTAAATTTGATTTTTTCTCTTCAAAATAAAATATATTTAAAAAGGATAAACTTGAGACTTTATAGGTAAACTGGTACAACTCAAGACCATACTCATAAGTGAAGTAAATCAGACTCACACGAGTAAACATCACAGAGTCTCCCTAGTGTGAGAAGCTGAAAGAGTAAATAAGATCCAAAATGTACAACAGATACTGTGAAATGAGAAGAAACTGGGATGGGGAAAAGGAGAAAAGAATAAAAGGAAAAGGGGAAATATATATACAAATATAAAAATACACATATACAAGATCATTAAGAGAGTTATACTACTAATTCTCTTAGTTAAGTGAAAAGAAAGGTTTATGCTAATATTGTTTGAACAATTTTTATGCCTATACTTTGTACTCTAAGTACTTTGAAGATAATATATTAACTATTGTTATTCTTCTATTACTTTGTTTTAAAATTTTGTTCTATATTTTCCTCTTTAAAATAAAGTTTAAAAAAAGAAAAAAGAAAACTGGCTGATGATATAGCTCAGCACAAAGTTCCTAGGTTGAATCCCTGTAACAACAACAACAACAAAATCTGGAGTAGAATAAAAAGAATCAAAGACATCATCTATTGCACCTGACCTACCTGTCTACAAATGTTCAGAGAGCTCCCCTGGAGAATGCTACACACGACAATATGAGATGGGTGAGATTTATAATTAGACCTGGAACCTGGAAGACACACCGCAGATGGGCACTACACACTGTCCCACAATGTTTAGGATACTGTTCTTCATGTGCATTACAACAGGAATCTCCAATTTTGCATGAGCACACAAGGACATATCTCCCAGATTTCATTTCAAATAAAATTAGCCACGTGGATAAATTCTAGACAATAATACATACAATAAATAAAAATGAGTAAAGTTTCTGGAAAGTATCTTTGAAGAGAAAAAGGCTCACACCTTTTCTTTCTTCCTTTTTTTTTTTTTTTTTTTTTTGGTGGTACCTGGCATTGGATCCAAGACCTTCACACCACAGCCCTTTTTTATTCTTGATCTTGATACAAGGTCTCACTAATTCACCAAGTTGTCCAAGCTCAGCTCAAACTTGAAATCTTCCTGCCTCAGCTACCCAGAGTGCTGAGATTGCAGACATGTGCCACCACACTCGGCTGTTCTTTTTCCTTCTGGTAGACGTGATGGCTGAAGCTGCAGCAGCTGTCTTGGGTGCTCCCATGGGAGCCACGCGGCGGAACTGCAGAGCAACTAGACAGAATCTGTGTACCCGGCATGGTGGATCCTAAAAGACCTGAACTGGCTTTCCCTGGACTTCAGAAAAAGAAATAGAAGAGGGAAGCAAACACCTAGTATAGGAGCTGTGCTCTCTGAGTAACG